ATCCGATACTGTATAAATTTACAGTACAAATAAACTGCATTAAGGGAACCTTTATACAGTATATTTATAAAACAGTTCGGACGGCGTTACACAGTTGTGGGAGGAAACGAGGGAGCTTTTTAGATTAAATTCGCAGCCGGTAAGACGTTTGGCACGATCCGGCGCGTTTGTTTTTGCATCTGGTTGCTCCACGATTACGTCCTCGACGCTGGACTTGAACTTTACTCAGGTCTAAATAAAGTAGAATGAACTTTATGGTTGTCCTCACGGTGCATCGTTGACTTCATTTAGTGGCATAATGCTTTCGCTATCAGTTTTAGAGACTATTATAACTTTGTCACTCAGGGCCCGCGGAAATCTAACCTTAGACATAGAACAAGTAAAGAAAAGAGGTCGAACTGGGCATTCGAAGTTTTATTTAAGACCAAAGCACGATTTATTTTCATTCCATTGTAACAAACACAAAAAATATCTAAAAAAGCCAAATATTAAAGGCATTTAATATTTGGCTTTCCTTAATTTTTTTCATAATAAAAATTTTAATCCTGATCCTACAAATTTTTATTTCCTTATATTTTATACTTAAAAATGTTTATTTATGTAAGTGACTTTAGCGGCAGATCAACTAAATAGAGATGATTATGAAATACCAAACTCAGGCACAGATTCCGAAAGGATTTATGTTAAAAATGATCAGCTGTTAATCTCTTGTTAAACTGCCTTGGATTTCTGAAAAGTTTGTTCAAGAAAAATTGTCTAAACACAAGAGTGATCTTTAACCAACGATAATGAATGAAATTTATCATTTACGTAAAAGAATATTGATTCTTTCTTTCAATTGTTTAGGTATCTTTTTTTTTTTTAAATAAAAACAATGTCACTGTTGTGTGTAACCGTGTCAGTAAAAAATCCTATTATTTAATACATCGCTGCCGCAATGTATTAAATAATAGGATTTTTAATATAATATAAATAATTAAAAATATAATATAAATAATTAAAAATATAATATAAACAATTAAAAAATATATAAATTAAAGCAATCTCTTATTATGTCAACGGCCATCGGGGGTTTGGGTCCGTATCTTGATGGCTCGTAGGTGACATTATTCCTGTTCAAAATAACGCTTACATGGGCACCTGGGCGGCCCTAACCAAACGCGAAGGGTCTAAACCGGATTTATTTATTTGCTTTTGTTGAACTGTGTAGATTATTACTTATGAACTTTGTAGGTTATAAAAACAAAGATAAGCTTTTTGAAATACCATGTTTTTAAATAATAGAAAATATGATTATCATTAATTACAAGGTATATTAGTGAAATATCGTTTATTTTTCCTAAAAATGATGAAAACCTAGATTTTATTTAAAAGAAAATTTTAAACAACGATTTATAGGTTCTTTTTGACAACGATGATTTCTGTTAATCGTCCATTAATCTTATCCTTTAAACGAGCAATTCTTATATATATATATATATAATCGGAGAAACGGCTCCAGCGATTTTCATGAAATTTAGGATGTGCGTAGATTCGGGCGCGAAAAATTGATCTAGCTAGGTTTCATTTTTAGAAAATGTCCTTTTATCCCTGTTTTCAGGGAATGAAAAATATCATTCGAATATGGCAGTAAATTTAGCCGCAAAAAAAAAATGTTATAATAGCTCGGTCAGTAATCGGACGGCCCCAAAACAGACGGCCGCGGTTCGTATCACGATCATTTACACATTTCTTTTTTTACTTTTTTTTCTTTACCAGATCATTCTCTTTATTTTTTATTTTTTTTTATTTCCACAATACGTGATTTACCAAATAAAATTCCTCCAGGTATCAGTCATTAATTACAATTGAAAATCAACATCTTTTTCAGGCGTTCTCTTGAATAATATCATGCTAAACAACAATTACCAAGAGATTACTTGTAAATTAAAATCGATTGACCTTTCAGAAATTTGGCGTCGACGGTCAACAACTGACGTTCCCTTGGCTTGTGACCGTATTTGGACGCTCTCTCTACTCGTAAGTATGAAACATGAAACTTGGTAGCTGTCTACACGACGTACGTATGAAGTTCAAACTCCGACAATACAAAGCTCCACGTGAAAGTACGTTAAACGTGGAACACCGTTGTTATCGTTTTGAAAAATATTTTTTTTAAGTGAAAAGTTGCCAAGCAAGCAGACGTGTGTTCCCAAGTTAGCTGGATCTCTGTCATTGATGAACCGATTTAAAAAAATATTTTTACATTGGGACCAGGTTAGCTCCGTTGGAGCTTGGACATCAGAAATACATTAGTGAGCTTCTAAAATGAAATAGAAAGTTTACATTTGAGTGAAATGTTCGAAGTGGGTTTTGCTTTTGTTATTTTATATTATTCATATTAATAGATATACTTTAAAAAATTATGTTTTATTCAAGATGACGCATGTCTATACTGCGCGGCGTTTAAAAATTATTCCTTTTTAAAAATTGTTCTGTTTTACATTTAAAAAGAATGTGACAAATGATATAAACTTATGATACGGAAAGAGATAGTAGCCTAGTACGGAAAGAGAGAGAGCCGTTAGAATTGAAATGTAATTACACCAATTGGTGTAATATGAGTGCCTCAATTACGATGCGGTAGTATCATATCTGCCTCGTTTTTGTATATTATTATATAATACAAAAACGAGGTAGATATGATACTAGACGGACTTTGAAGGATTAAGAGCATATATTTCTATTTATTCCATTTCCTATATTTAGTTCTTCTTCTTTTAAGGCAGTTGGCGGTCCATATTATATCGCCAATGGCACAATAATGGTAAAGAAACAAGTGGATTCAAATATCAGGAATATCTTCTAGTCGTTTATTTTTGCCTAGCTTTTATAATGAATTGATGAAGATAATGATATTAAGTATATTTTTATATAAGTATAGAATATCTAAACAAATTTACATAATTATGGCAATTATCTAGAACAAAGAAAATAGGATTGTAATTATTACGCTAAGTTCACAATATATTTAGTTTCCTACCGTATTTTCATTTTTATCAAACGTCAATAGTCCTGTCATTACATTTGCTGTCAAATATCTTTTTTACATCGGTAATACAAAATCAACAGCGTTTGAACCAATTCGATGCATCATATTTTAATGCTTTAAATTATTATATCGATAAAGAACGTCATAACAGACCGGTGCAATTTATTTATGGCGACGGCCCGAGAACAATTCTTAGAGGCGAGAATTATTAACACTGCTCTATCGACATGGATTACTTATTATGAGATTTTTATAAACAGTTCCTGTTATAGGAAAAAGATAATAAATAAACTCGCTTTCTTAACTAACGTTCTTACAAATCTTACATTTTTTTATATAAAAACGCACTTACTTAAAGTAATAAAGTCTATTTTCTCATTAAAACTCTACTTTCTGAATCAAAAACTCAAAAAAACTAGGGTTATTACTTCACGTCTATCTTCTGACGTCAAGTAATACACTATTTTGTAGATTATTTTTTATATTTAGTACTACCAGTTTTTTAACATTAAGGTCTCTTAAAAAACAGGTAGCCCCGACTACCTCACTCACTAGAAACGGGAAAGTTTAATACATCCGCTTCACTAGGGGCTTCTGTGAGGTCGTGGTACTTCCCCGGATGAGTACGCCCATTCGTAAAATAGAAGAACCTGTTGCGTGGCCTTACCACAGTGAACCTTCCACTCAAGATGTTTATTTAAATGTAAATTTAAAATATGTGTTATCGAAAATGTAGTTCGTCACGTTTAGTTAGTTTTTAAATTTCCGACTTCAAATCAAAAATCATTTGTTTTACTTTCTTTAAGTCATAGGCTACAATATAAGGTAAAATTGACTTTATCAAATCATGAGTACCAAATATTCGCATACATTAAAGAAACTATTTTATAAAACACTAGCGACCCGTCCCGGCTTCGAACGGGTACAATGTACCTTCCTCTTGAATCACTCTAGTTTTAAAGATCTAAGCATACATAAGGGCAGACAAAAAGCGGGACAACTTTGTTTCTTACTACGTAGTGATTTCTAATTAAAATGTGGGAAATAACATGGTATTTTAATGCTGGAGTAAACCATCATGTACTATATAAATGATAACTTTTAGAAAGTGCTACATTACGCTGCAATTACATATATACGTCGACCCGAATGGCGTTGTGGGTAGTGTATCTGCCTTCTACGCCAGAGGGTGTGGGTTCGATCCCTACTACTGGAAAAATATTGTGTGATGAACATAGTGTTTTTCTAGTGTCTGGGTGGTACATATATATATAATACGTATTTATTTACAAAAGAAAAGTGTGTTTAAGTATTTATGTTTATCAGTTTTATAGTACCCATAGTACAAGCTTTGATAGTTTGGGACTAGAGAATGTTGTGTAAAAATGTGTCCTAAAAATATTTATATTTATTTATTTATATGGAGTATTTTTCAAGGATATAGGTACACGATACTTATTATTTCTTAAATTATATGTGAATTAGACGTTACAATTGTATTAAATTAAATCGATTAAGCTTGCATACCAATAAATAACCCGATGATTTAGGACTTATCGATAAGTTTTTTGCACGTCCCTAGTCCAACCGTCACCGTATGCCAACAGGGCTGTCATACCTGTTGCGAACGGGACGTGTCGGGCATGCCGACCAACTCCCAGCCGGATGCCATTCCTTTGTTCGCGACCACTGACGCTCCTTGCAGCGGACCGGTCTAGCATCGATATCGTGACATTAATTCGTCAATTCACTTCTCTTAGACATTTTAAAAAACGAACGAGAAAACATAGAGTCTAACAAAGAACGTTCCGTTTTCAATTTTTAAACCGACACCAAACGTCAAACTGCATTTGAAAATGGAACGGGACGAAGGAAAGTTTCGAATGTACTAGAATCTTCTTATGTTTTTTTTTAAATAGGTAGTAATAGCACACGGTGTTGTTTAATTGAGTGGATAAGCGAGTTGATAATGGCGACTGAATTAGCGCTGGCGCTTAATTGCCTAGATAACGTATGCGGTGGGACGACTCGCCACTCGCCCGCCGAGTGACCCAAATCCTCCAACAATGACTGCCTGTGGCCAGCCATACTACATACTTGCCATAACTACTACACGTTCGGAGTGACTTTAGAATGAAATTAAATCGACCATCTATGTATGGATGGGGTAGTGCGAATTTTATTACTTCTCTCTCAAAATTCGTTCGATGCAAAATAGATTTTTATTAGGCGCATCAATATTTTATTACAGGTAGCGAGACCTCTTCAAATTGTTTTGAGGGCTTAGCGATCTTTAGAATATTTATTTTGTAATCTCGAGCATCTATGATGAACACTGTTGAAGTGTTCCGTTAAATGGTTAGTTTTTCATGAAATACCAGTTTAATCAGTTACAGTGAATAGTCGCGATTTTTTTTTAAATAATTACAAAAAAACTTGAGCGTAAAGCAATTCGCCCATAGCTAACATACTCGGAATCACAGTTTTAATATGGATACTCTATTCCACCCAAAAAAAAAACAGAAATGAAAAAACATTAATCTTTTATACACATAAAGGACGAAGTTATTACGCTAAGCCATAATTGCGTTAAGTGGAACATCGCCCGAACGAAATACCTCACTACTCTGAAGGCTATCTTGGTCTTCCTCTTGATTTTTACGGCGTGTCGTCTTCTAGCCAGGGCGGCGGCGCCCGCGAGCAGCGCGCCTTCGGCGTCGCTATCGCCGGCGCCCCCATCGACGATCGGGACCGGGGGCGGAGCCCTGGAGCACCCGGCGCCCCACGAGAGCATCGAGCTCCTAAGAGACCTGAGCGCCTCCGTTGTACAGGCCCTCTCGCTGCCCCGCCACCATTCAACAACATATCGGCGCACCGATATTCACACGCACTCGGTAGACCCGATCCACGCGATTACGTCACCAGCTCAAACAGAAGCCTGCCTGACGTCACTGGGCCGCCGTTGGCCGAACGCCGCTCGGAAATGTCACAGCGAACACGTGGCCGCCCCGACTGCGGAACTCGCGCGCCGGCCCCCCAAAATTATCTCATCGCAAACATCGTGTACCGTTCGCTTGACGCAACAGCGCTCTCTATCATACGCCGTACCTCGAACGAGACCGGACCAAACGGCTGAAGCACTTTATTTTCGTTCCGGCACACCGTGTCGCGCGGATCGATTAGACGCACCGCACCGATGCGAGACGCAACGGCGTGCACGCGTGCATAATACGCCATAACATTGGCAGCGCAACCTGCGCCTTCAACTCATGCGATCAACCTCAAGGTCATCGAACTTTGAACCACCGAACCCGTTTACGTTCACGATCTATCATTCGATAGCGAAACGGCGATATGGAATTATTCAATCTATTGTGTTTGTTTAAAGTCGAACGGTTTAGAAGCGAGTCCGTGACTCGAATAATACAATTGACATTGGTCGAGTCAAACTGGCGTGGCCTTCGGGACTGGAATAAACGAATATAAATATGTTATCATAACGCGTGTTCGTGGAGTCGTACAATGTAATAGAGTGTTTATTCAAAGGCGTTTCGTGTTCGGTCTTGCAACTTACTGTGAAAATGGGCGGAAAATAAAATACTTCAGCGGTCTCTGAATTATCGACGAACTTAGACACGATATACGGCATTGGCTATGGACATTTTTTTCGTAACGAATGCACTGTGACTGTGACACTAAAACTACGCAAACGTCCGCACCGATCGCTCTAAAGCGCAGCTGTTGACTTTGCAGTCTGTATATTTCTACCGTGCGCGTCGGCCAGAGTTCGTAAGTGCTGGCACGGGGTGCGCGCGTTGACTGAACCAGAGTCGAGCTGGCGACGGTGTGTTGCGTGTGCGGCCGAGTAGACGCGCGCGCCGAAATAGAACGGAGAAATGCCCCTCGGGCGATTGTTGATGGTGTTGGCTCTTTCCCGCTCTTTGTGGCTTTTTTTTTGTGGACGCTCTCACTGGATCGGGGGAGTGAGGCTCGGTGATTCTTAGCTAGCGATTTAGACGCTTGGACGCTTGCCCCTATGTGGGTAATGTGGCCGATCTTTGCTCTAAGTAAAATATCAATAAAAGCGTGTGACGAAAACCCCAGTGCAATGCGAGGAATACTTTATCCTTATGACGGAATTCTATTTATAAATAATAAATCTAATATCCTGTTGGTGACGTGTGTTTAAAATGGTAACAAACATTTTAAACACGTCATTTAGTTTCTCTCAATATTAAGTTGCATTTACATTACTATTACTTACTTTTAATGCTTAAGTTAAACTTTCCACATTCTCCTTACGGTAGAAAATAGAGCGCTTATGCAATGATAAAAATAGCTTCATTAAACTTTGGTGCACGTCATAAAATATTGTCAAACATAAATTATTGTTAAATGAAACTATTATACGAATTTTGTCGCGTTTAATTCGGTTTTTTTACCAACGTTTCGAACCCTTTCCAGCATTCATGGTCACGGGGCAGACTGAGTTGACCATCGATTATTTGTTAATTTTGTTTTTTTTTACTCCGATCGATGAAAAACCATAAATTATTTCTGTCAACAACTAGACTGCGTAGACTAAGTAAATCTCTTATGAGACAATGTGCACATTTTACAATAAAGTCCCAGAAAACGCTCTTAATGTATCAGTTGCTAAATTAAAAAAAAATGTAAAGGAACATTTGTGTGCTAAAGGTAGTATATTATAATATTAATGATTACTTAAATGATAGCACGCTCTGAAAATGAAATGCTCGTTCCAGGCTCGTTCAAATAAAAATAAAAATAATTGCCAAGTCGAATTTCTTTACTTTCTGTTCCATACCGGCACTAGTATTTTGACAATCAATAAAGAAGTGTAATGCTTCTACATTGAAGAAAGTTATTTTTGAATTTGAATTTGAAAGTGTCTGTCCGTCTGTCCTTGCTCATATATTATTCAAGAACCTTTAGTCTAAGAAAGTATCTCTCTTTCTAACATTGGTTGAATTAACCTTCTTGAAGCCAATTATGCTGCGGTGGATGTGGCCAAATACTCTTAAAACGACATCTAAATAGCAACTTTTGCTTGAAAAAAAGAAGAAGAACATTGGTAACATGTTTTAGGAGAGGATTAAAATCTACATTTACTATATTAAAACAGGCGCGGTGCCTGCACTTTTAGATCCGTGAGCATGGCTATTTATAATTTATCGATGTAAAAATTATTATTTATTTCAACCGCACTTGTTCGCATATTTTTCATCCGATTAAAAGTAATTAATGGGCAGTGAAAAGCGTTTTCAAATAACCTACAACCTAATTGTCTCGGCACTGAAGACATTTATGAAAAAGTCAAGTGCCACTACTGGGCAAAGGCCTCCTCTGTACTGAGGATATAAAGGCATAGTCCACCACGCGACATCACTGCGGATAGTCAAACATTATTCACATATCGCACAAAATATTTTCTTTTTTATTTATTTTGAAGACATGCAGATTTCTTAGTGTTTTCCTTCACCGCTGGACACATCATAATTCAACACTTAAAATTAACTGGGATTTGAACTCTTGCTCGAGCATACTGAACTAAAATTTCGTACAAGACATTTTTATCTATATATGAATTCTACACATTGAAAAATAAAATTATATTACGAATATGTTTCGTAGTAACAATTCAATTATAAAAACAATTTTCAACAATAAAAAACCGACTTCAATCAGAAAATTAAAAACATTGTTAACACCTATAACATTCAATGATGGCCCTCGATTTCTCTGGGATGCCATCATCAGATCCCGGTTTCCTTATCATGGTACCACCCTTCGGATATCTCCTTTCCGACAAAAAAAGAATCATCAAAATCGGTTCATAAACGACGAAGTTATCGACGAACACACATAAAAAAAATAAAAAATATATACGGTCGAATTGAGAAACCTCCTCCTTTTTTGAAGTCGGTTAAAAACTTAAATTCATTCTGTTTGTTTCAATGAAACTTCTTTACGGATGGCGTTTTATTTTGAATCCACTCAGTAGCTTCTGCTGTTGCACGAATGGGCAGATCATGGCGGGCACTTTCTTAATAGTTGACAATGCATTGCAATTCTTCTTATGTCCATGGGCGCGGCAATCACCTAACATCAATTATTTTAGACTTTCTGATTTTGAAATTGATTTCGTTTTTCTACTTTCTTTTATATAATAAGTTTTTTTTTTAAATTAAGTATTTATGGTAATTTTAAGTTCATTTTTATTTTAATATAGGTACGTGTAATATTGTAAAAGTTTTTTGTCAATAGTGTACATATAAGTTTGTATGAGTAATATCACTAAGTTTTTTAATATGTAAATAAATAAATAATAAATAATCAACTGCCTGAACGCATGACAACTTTTGACATAAAAAAATCAATCTTGACGTTTCAAAAACTATACAGCAGCGTCACAGGTCTCATTGTCCCAAGACCACGACGAAGGTGTGGAACATAAATCAAAATAAAACGCAATAAAGTCCGTATGGTTTTTTAATTTAACCACGTTTAGTATTAGCGTAAATACAAGAAATAGTTAAAAGAAGTTTAATTTAAAATGAGAATAAATGGGACAAAATCTTTACAATGAAAAAAAAATATTTAAGCGTCTTGCTGCTTCGTATTGCACTGCAATTGTTTAAATTTAAAAAAAAAGTTACAAAAAAATTCTCTTTTCATAAATTTAAACATATTTTCAACAACAATTTTATAAACGTTTCAGCCCCTTGATGTGTAATAATTCCAAAAATCAATTTAAAACATAATTAAATAGAAGATGACAAAATTACTTACATAACAGAACCCACAACCTGACTCTCGGAAAACCTTTTACTTTAACCACCAACCAAGACGGCCGATGAAGATAACATTGTGAGGAAGAACATAAATTGTGTTTTCGCAACCTTAGATATTTTAACGTCTTTATCGTGTACCCAATTTAGTCGAATAACGCTGTCCCCTCCGAGTCCGCAAATCTGATTTTTATGTAGGACCTACAACCTTTTTATCGCATTTGTAGAGATTTACCAACCAAAGGAGGTCGTCTTAGAATTTGTTATGTATTATATTGGATACTAGCGGCCCGCCCCGGCTTCGCACGGGTATTTAACAAAATTTTTAAAAGTAAAAATTATCATACACACACATAAAACCTTCCGAATATTTCGACCTTGGGGAATAATTTTATGAATTTATTCATCTTTTAATGAAATACCCTTGAAATTACGTCACGTAAAAATGACAAATAAGTCTGGTCTCCCATAGCTTCGGACACAAATCATCGCATCTTCGGTTTATTTTGTGATGAATGATTCGATGTTTGATGAGCCAGTGTCTTGATTTAAAGCGTCTCTAAGATGAATGTTTCACCAGCCCTCAGTCTCTGGTGATTACGACATCATATTTAATTCAATCTTTATGATATCTTTTTGCCATCATATCGACAATGTATTGAATAAGAACCGGTCAAGTGCGAGTCAGACTCGCACACGAAGGGTTCCGTACCGACCTCACAGAAGACCGGCGTAAAATAGAAGTGTTATACTTCTACGTTTCGTCTGGAGAGAGAGGTAGCCGAGGCCCACTTTATTTAAAGATGGCAACTTCTTTTTCAACCCTACAGGTGTTAAAAATGTCTATGGGCGGCGGTTATTACTTAACATCAGGTGAACCGCCAGCTCGTTTGCCACTCTATCACTCTATCACCATTAAAAAAAACATGTCTTATTATCTTTATTCAATATAGAAGTATAGAAGTATTACACTTACATATTGTCAAAAACACTACTACTGTCAACATTATCTATAAAAACGACAAAAAAAAATCATGTCTGTTTTATGGGAGCTCCACTTCTTTATATTTTTTTGTTTTTTGGTATTTTTTGTTATAGCGGCAACAGAAATTCATCGTTTGTGAAAATTTCAACTGTCTTACTATCACGATTCATGAGATACAGCCAGGTGACATATGGACAGACATACGTACATACAGACGGACAGCGGAGTCTTAGTAATAGGGTGCCGTTTTACCCTTTGGGTACGGAACCCTAATAAGTCCCAGTAATAATGCAATGGCTTAAAATAGGTAGCTCTAACCATCAACCTAAATGCATACTTGCATGCATGTCACAGTTTTGTTACGCACAGTACCTTGCTGAGGAATAGTCAAATATTAACCGTCTTCTCCTATTACGACTATTAAGGGATATTTTTATGG